GACTTTAACTACCCTATATATTAAAGTTTTTATTTACTATTACATTTGCTAATTTGGCCTATTGACACTTTTAGGTGAAACGGCATTTTCCCAGTATTGCTCATTTTATAACTTACTCTAAAATTTGCTCATTTATTATATATTTTGAGTATTTGCTATTAAATTTGATTCATTGGTTTTAATAATGGCAATAAGCGAAGTGCCGGTACATATTATTTTAGTCAAAAAATATTACGCATTAAAGATTTCGCTCATAGATGGCAGAAAGATTTGGGAATCTATTAACGAAATCTCGAGGCGTGCGTAATATTATTTTGGCTAAAATCTTTATTTAAAATTGGCGAAATCGAGCTGTCAAACAACATTACAATTAGAAATCTGCAAAAATAGGCCCGGCCCGAACCCGACCCGGAAATATTTTTTAAAAAATTCGGGCCGGGTCGGGCCTTAGAAATGTTTTAAAATATATCTAAATTTATCAATTTTATGTTGAATTTTTTATGAAAAATAAAATATGTGATTTTATTTATAGAAAGTAGACGCCAAATAACATATTTACTTTATTTTGAGTAATTATAAAAATTAATTTCTATATTTAAATAAATTTGGGTTAGGCAAAACTTTATAAAAAAATTTCTGGCCGTGCCAGGCTTGAAAAATTAGGCCCGATGCAGATCATTAATTACAATGACTTGTCTAAATGTCTTGATTTAAAATTAAGCAACAGGTCAATTTAAACTATAATCCTATCTGGCAGGCATGTCAGCCTAGCCCGAAAAAATATTACTGTGACACAATTATAAAATGAATTTTTTAAAGAAATAGGTGGAAATACAAATTATTTTCATGTCATATTAATAAATGGAATAAAACAGTTATCAAAGTTATTGTTGAACATTTAAATTTAATGCATAACTGGCTTTTTTTTAAACAATTGGGCCATAATGGGTAACGGACTGGGTCTAAATCTTAAAAAATTGATATCAGGCCGCAGGCGGCCTTAGACTGGAAAAATTTAGGCCTTTTAGATCTCCAGGCTAATTTGATCGAAACAATTTTTTTCCACAATCCATCTAGAATAGAAAAGTATTGCGAAATTGAGACTGACTTTTATAAAGAGCACCCAATACTTATTTAAGGAAGATGCCATGTTATATATTTATTTATTTATAAATTGCGCCTTAAACTATTCCCTAAAGGCTATGCCCAAAATCTCTTCAAAAAATTCGAAAACTTTCAGAAGTTTTAAAATGTTAATGAAATCGTATGTTAAATTTTTGAAATTTTCTAAAAATTTTGGACATTATTTCTATTTTTTTGATAAAGTTTCAAAAGTTTGCGAATCGAATTTTTTGATATTTCAGACATAGTCTTAAGAAAAGTCCTGGAAAAATTATTAGAAACTATAAATCAAAAAATTATAAGCAAAATTTCGATAAAATAATATTTTAATTATGAAAAAAAATAATAAAGACAATAACCCCTAAAATAATTTTTTGTATAATATAGGGTCGTCGTGTCAAGATAAATAAAATAAATTATTTACACTGTATACTATTATAATACTATTTTTGAGGATCATATAATTTATAATATTCATTTATTATTTTTTTTATACCTCTAAAAATGTTTAAAAATTATACTTTTTATTATCACATTACATAATTAATATATATAAATTTTTAAAAAAATATGATGCAAAAAATTTATATTCCTGATTCAATTCCGATTGGTCTCATTTGGTATATGTATACGGGAATGTTGACTTACGATATTATTTCTTGTTTGCAGGAAGGGATGGACAGCGGCATAAGGGCCGGAAAATATGTTTACCATCGAATACCCGAGCAAATGTGGGAAAATAGTTTAAAGGGATTAAAATGTTGCGGACTAAACGCCATAGAAATCGAAATACCCTGGAATCGTTACCATCTAAATTACCGTATAGTAAAATCGGCAAACGATGATATCGAATTTGCTAACAGCACCACACCAATTTTTAATGTAAATTATTTAGAGGATGAATGGGAGGAAGAGATAATTTACGAGGATTTATTCAGTTTAACGAGTCTCGCGGTGGATAATGGAGTTAAAATTATAGTCAACTTAGGTCCAACCACGTGTAAATCTACGGCGGAACCATTAGCCGGTCTTCCGATCGACCTGGTTTTGGATCGCGAAAATACAAAATGGTGGAATAAACCGTTGGCAATCAATCCAGTGTTAAAGAAGCACATGCACACCATCTTGCAAACTTTCGTTCAAGCGTTGGAAAAGAAAGAGCTTAAAATTGAGGAATGGCTTTTTATTCTCATAGACTGCGATTGCATTGGACCATTTAAAAATGTCGAAATTTACATAACATATATCGATGATTTGATAGGAGAGCTGAATAAACGAGTATCGAGAAATAATCCCAAGATGATTTATCCTAAATTCATTTACTATTGGAATAATTCCCATTCTACTTCACGCGAATTCCATAATTCCAATCTCATCTATGAAACGTTTGCTAAGTATAAACCTTATTTGGACGCAAAAATGTTATTCAGAAAATCGTTGGGAGCCTCTTCGAAAAATGAAATAAGGCGTATTATCGAAAGGAAATTAATAGGCGAGATGTACAAGGGAAGAAACCCCAAAAAAATTGTCGCGAGGAACGTTCCCTCTGATTGGAGGTTGGATTACATAGTAAATCAAGGTAAAAACATAAGGGATGGTATGTCATTTTGGAACGATGAGTCGGCGTTGAGTAGAGAATTTGTTTATCTCGAAGATCACGATATTATAGAGATTAATGACTTTAATTATTTGATCATGGAATCTTTTATCGAGCATATAGTATCAACCAGTGGCTATTTCAGCATTGCCACCTACCATGAAGGGACAAATCTGAATCGAATAGCCGGAGGGGTCATTTTACCTCAGGAAAATGTTTATCGACAGTTAACAAACCAATATGGGTCGGTACATAGACCTTTGGTAGATCTTATGGGGCGTTGGAGTAACGAATGCAAAACCATTCGAGATATTGTATCCAAAAAAAATGGGAAAGATTACACATCCAATTGCTATAATCCATATAAAACTTATTCACCAATAAAATTAATAGTAGTGGACAAGGTGATGCCTTTGAGGCGTTTATTACGACTGTACAAACAGGGTAAAATATTAAGCTCCTCTAGGATGATAGGGTTGGAGAAATTAGAACTTATCGATGGCATTGATTTATCGTTGACTCCTTATATATTTTATTGCACTCATATTCAGACCGAATCATATAATAGTAACTTGACAAATAAAGTTAAAAGTTTATACAACATTATATTTAAAGGGAAAATAGTGGATACGGTTTCAATTTTGATAAATGAACGAATAATCGGTAAATTTAATGGTAATGAATATGCAATGGCGGAGCAAATCATAGATCTCCATTTTAGTATTGATGATGACCATGCCAGATCTGTTAATGAACATCAAAATAAGAATAAAAACCATTTCGAGTTGTGTTTGATGCTAGAAAATAAAGGATTTCCGGTTGATATAAAATCGTCAAGTGATGTAACCCAAGCAAAAAAAATGTTGAAAAAGGGAATATTGGGCACAATTATATTAGATGGTAAGCTGTTAAACAATAGTTGGGATGTGTTTAAAGTAAAGTTAGATAAAAATATTTTCCAAAATCTGGTTTATGGTGGTGAAAAATGGAAGATAGATAAATCATGGATACGATATACCTTGTCAGCAGCTAAAGGTCCAGCTATTTTTTTGGCCAAATTTATGATGGATAAGAATTTTAACAAAATATTGGGTATTTATTTACACATGATAGACTGGTATTCAGGTTTTCTTATGATAAATGGTCATGTGCTAGGGAAATATGATCATGTAGGACCCCAACAAACTGTATTTTGTCCTATTGCTTATCTAATTAATCATGAATGGAACTTCATAATAATTTTTGAAGAAAAACTAGGCGCTGAAATTATAGATGTAATCGATTTTCCCATTCTGGATGAAAGCTATAACATAAAATGGTTAATAAATAGTTTGACAAGATAAAACAAAAAATAATTGTCAATGTTGGAGATATTTATTTATATTCAATAAACTCAATTGAATTATAATAAAATTATGGGTGACTTTATTTTATTTTAAATTGTCACAGCTTAATCATTATATGTGTTAATATATTTAATTGTATATATCAACTAACTCTATATCCCATATTGATATCAAGAAATCCCTTGCTCCAGCTGCTATAATAATATTTCTGGTCATAAAATTTTTATTCACATCTTTCTTATACTCTACATCTAAAATATCTATAGTAGTTATATTATTCACATGGAAATTTAGGTCAAAATTTTGTATTACACTGGATTTTGATAAATTTTCACAATTAATAAGTAAAACTTTTATAGAGTAATCACATTGTTTATATGAACCACCTGTTATAACTAAAATGATATTCTTGGATTCAAAATTGTTTTTATTTGGAGGTATAATTTTTAATTCATTGTGATAATTTTCTGAACCATTGTTAGAGTTACATATTTCATTTATTTTATAACTGAGATCTTTAATTAGAACTATACTAGACATATTATTGATCTTGGCATTTTTGTCAGATTCAATAATTTTAAAAGCAAACTGATGTGCATTTATCATGGATGAAAGCCCAAAACCAATGTTTAGATTATGATCATATTCTAAAGAAAATATAGGACCCAGATATTCGTGAATACCAGCTGAAACATCTTGAATTAGTTTATATACTTCCTTAGAATATTCAATCAAATTTAGCTCTATTTTAAAAGAATTCATATTATCAATTGTCCCAATAATTTTGAACATAGCTATAACTCCACTTTCAAAGCCTATTAATAAATATGAGATATTAATATTTTTTGTAGAATATGATTTCTCAAATATCTCCATGCACATTATTGAGCCCAGCAAAATATCTTTATAATTTTTGTCTTTAAAATTATGTATAGAATATTTTTTAATTATGGTTTGAAATTTCAGATCATAAAAAGTTATAATATCATTTTCAGATGGAATAATTAAATATTGAAGTTTATTTTGATTTATTTCAACATTAGATATAACTCCCTTACAAAATCCATGATAATCTATATTAAATTTATCTAATCATATACATATAAATATTATAGTGGCTAATAATATTATGTTTACATCTTAATGTCAGAGAATATGATTCAAAATCCCATAATTTGCATTCACCACCAATAGCCTGTGTAAATATTAAGCTTATCTGGTCCTTATTATATATTTCAACAATATGCAAAATAGATTTATTATGAGCTTCCATTTTCAAGAGATAGGTTTCATCCATCAAACTCCATAAATTTAAGAGACCTTTATTTGTTCCTATCAATTATTTAAAAAATGATTGTATATAAGAGGGTACCTGATAATAATAATTGCTCTTTACAAAATATATGTTGTACATAATTTTTAAGAAAACAAACAACTGAGATTTGATCCACACATCTCAAAACAATATTTGGTTTCTGAGCTTTTTTTAAAATTTTCATAAAAATTTAAAATGGGATTGATAGATCATTGAATATTCGGTGGTTTGATATAATTTAAATATCCCTAATATGGTTTTGGTTTTGGGGTCCGGATCATCCGATGCAACAATTTTTGAACAAAGGTTATTAATTATATACATATATGTATTTTAGAGATATCTAAATTCATTTCATTCGATTCCTAATATCAACATGGTATAAAGTTATTGGCCTAGAATTCCCAAAAACAGAATCCAATATTTAACATGGATACTTAAATCGGCCCTTCCCTTGCCTTATAAAGGAATTAAATATAATATATATGCAATTTATGGGTGTTGGCTGTGTTTATCTCCCCAACCCTTTTTAAACAGCCCACAGACGTTTAAGTAATATTCCTAGGACTATTTTCATTACAAGTACGTGCGGCTTACCTACAAACATGTGAATGTTCTACTTTCTTATTCCCTTATATTAAATAGTTTGATGTATTTGAGGAAAACCTAGGGTAGCTATGGTGATTGTAACATTAAAGGGCTTGGCGCTGAAATCATTTCTCACTTAATATCCCTAGTAGATGTCTCCGGGTAGGTTTAAAGATCACAAGCTTGCCCACCCAATGTTTAATAAATATTTGATCCACCTGCCCAACCCGCTCATAGTTTTAAAAGGTTTACCTGCCCTTCAGCCCATTAGTCTAAAATTCCTTACCCATCCCCCCATTAGTCTAAAATTTTACCCACCCACCCATATAAAATTTAAATATGCCTCAATTCAATTGTTTTAAGCATTCAATAAAAATAAAATTTAGCATAAGCGCTACACTCCTAAAAAGCTTTATAATTTAAAAAATACATTATTAAAGGATAAAAAATATTAAATTTAAATTTCGGATAAGGAATGGTGAAGTCATATATTTATAAAAGAAAATATAAAATTAATATTTGTTAATATTTTTGTGATTATAATGCAAGAATATTAATGTATCCACATTTTCTGGACTCAACTTCTTTGTTCTAATAACTTTCCAGCAATGCTAAATCCTTGTTCAGATGAAATAGTTGTTGGAATTGCAAATATTTTTATAGCTAATTTTGAGAGCTATGAAAGTGAAACCATTAATAATAATAAAAATAAGGTGATTTAAATAAATTAACTGTTTATAAATTATCACCTAAATTATATAAATCGCTCATTACTTTTTTAAATATTTTGTTCCCCATTTAAGTAGAGTGTTCTCCTCAATAGCAACCTCAAACTCCTATCAGTTGTGGTTAAATTTTGACGTGGCTTTATCTATTTCAAACATTGCATTTATAATTTAATACACTTTAATTTATATTTCCTTGCTTTTGGTGAAACAGGTAAAATCAGATTTTCGATCACAATGATATTAATTCAACATGTTTTCGATATATTTTTATTATTTATTAAGATAACCACTCCTCAGCTTTCGGAATTTTAGTATGTTGAAATTTTAAAAGGTAATTTTCAAAAATAATTACTATAATCTAATTAAAAATATTTTTAAAAAAATCAATTTTAGAATAAGTTATATACTTTAAAGATTTTCATATAAATTACGGCTGTATAAAGCAATATCAAATTCAGACTTGTTAACTCTACTTAAGTCTATATAAATTCTAAAAACATCCCTCGATACCGATAAAATACATATTTCTAAAATATATATGATATGAATACGTAAAATTTAGATATAATTTATTTTGGTGTTACAAACTATTATATTTTACTGTATGTATTATATAAAATAGTTACAAAATAGCAACAATAAATATAATCATTTGATTTCAATATTGAAATAAGTTCATTTATCAAATGGGCAGCCCCTCCTATCAGTAAAAAAGCCATGCTGAAATGAAAAGGCTCAACCGATATTCTGAAAGGAATGAATTAATTTTTTTTATTCATTTTAAAAAAACAACATGTTTTATAAAAAATGAACTTTTGATAAATATATTTAAAACGCGAGGGGGTTCTCAAATTGATCGAACAGTTGATTGATATGCAATGTGATCTGCATATCTCCCTTGATATCCATTTGCTGTGTAAAATCTTTCTCGAGGGTCACCTAAAATTAGGCGCAATTTTTTCCCCTTGAAAGAATCCTGAGTTCTAGTTAAAAATCAAATATATCGATTTCGTGGAAAACAATGGTAATAAATGTGATAGTATGCTTCTATATTAGTTAATATTTTTTAATTTCTGTCCTAACTATAAAGAGCTAAAGCATTATACACACAACTATTAATTATAGGGAGATCGTACAGATATAATATTTGTTAAATAAATATATATATACTTTTTCTTTTATAATATTCATCTACTTCTTTTTTACATTTATTTTTAAGAGTTTATTATTTATGGAAAACTGGAAAGGTTAACAGTTTTTTGAACTATCACTTGTAACTTACCATGGGTAGAAGGAATTATTAATCAATAGTAGCTGACATTGGAGGGGGGCAGGCAGAAGGTGCTATTATTACTGTTATGTAGAAATATATCGTAATATACTGTTTATACATTATGAATTATTATATTCATCAATTAGATATGGTTATAAAAATTATATATATATTTATGATTCAATATAATATTGGGTAAGGTTAACTATCTAACACCCATAATATCTATTATAATGTGATATTTATCTATAAAATTGGAGAAAGGGGGGGGGGGGTTAAGGTTAGTTTTGATTTGACTTATTTTTATTTTTAGTGAATGGTAAGATGGGGTTATGGGATGTAAAATTTTAGAGATGGGGGGAGAGGGGGGTGATAAAATTTTTAACAACTCTAAACTTTAAACTTCAAAGATAAAGAAGAATATATGACAAAATTTTTACTTTCTATCTGATGCTGACCTTTAGAGACAATATGGCGTAAAGTTTTAGCTATATTCGAAGTGAAAAATCATGTGATTGCATAAAACTATTTATTTTAATGATCCCATCCTATAAAACAGGGTTCGAGTAAAGATTTGAAAGAAAAATAGATATATTTTTCCAAATAAATATTTATATCAATCTATCGAAAATTAATTGTTTTTTTAAGGTAAATTCTAGGTTATTCTTACTACAAGGATTTTTAGAATTGGAAATATTATTTTAATAATAGATACTCACAATGACGAGAGAATTTAATTTTTCTTGTCTTAGATCGAGCATGAGGTTTAATACGTTTTCGCAAATAAAATTCCTCTCAAGAACAAGATGTAAAAAGAATATATAATAATATTCAAGTAAATTATACAAATTAATAAACATTAATTTTGGAATATCGATAAAAAAATATACTTAGTATTTCTTTAATTTTGAAAATTTTCCTTCAAACTATAAGATTAGGAAAATTTTTGGCCATTAAGAATTGAGTATTAGGGGGTGGACACTTTATTCTGGGATGTTAGTGGGAAAATGCCAAAATGATGCCTTAACATGTTAGTCACACACTATTTATAGACTATTCTATTTTAATTTGTCAAGGACACTAGATTAGAAACTGGTTAATAGTAATAAACGCTCATATACATGGTTTGATGTTCTTCAAAATATTGTTCCCAAAAACGGAATATAAAGATTCTCCTGTAAAATCAATGGAACTGGATGTACCTCGTCAAGCCCTTACCACCCATAGATGAACGGTAAGGTAGAAAGAGTGATTAGAAGGTTGAAAAATAAAATAAAGATCACCCAAGAAAGTGATATATATAAAAATATATGGAAAAAATCTCATACCGCAATAATATATAGAGATTGCTTATAGTCTTAGAAGAAATAAAAGGAAAATTTTTTACAAATAAATTAAAAGAAAATTTAAATAAATAAATGGTACATTAATATTGGCGAGAAAAAGAAAGCATGTTTGTGAAATATAGGTAGATGGAAGAAATCATGCTGACGAATTTAAAGAAGACAACTTGAATCAAATAGTTTGGAATCGACCTATAAAGTAAAATTAAAGTACTGAATAAATTAATAAGTTCATATAATTTAGATTAGAAATCTGCAAAGCCCGGCTTGCTTTGACACGTTAAGAATTTTGAACAAGTTGTTCGGCTCAGCCCGAAAATATTTTTGCCAATATCGCCCCTATTTGTCCAACCCGGTCCTATAAGATTTTATGCAAAGTTAGGCCCGGCCCGTTAATTTACTAAAAATCTGATCCAGCCGGTTAATTCCTTTTTAAGAATTATCCGGCCATCAAATTTTTCTAATTTTTTCCAAATGTCAATAAGGCTCTTATATTTCTCCTCTATGACCATCTATTTATACAACAGGTTTATAAATTAATTGTATCTGTGTTGGGCATTCGTAATTGTATCATATCATAAATAAGTTGTTTAATTTTTTCTGAATTTTCTATATTATCTAAAGACTGAGCTATTTAGTTAGACAGCTCTTAAAATACAAAGAAATAAGCATATTGATTTATTTTCAATTAGTATAATCAAAATCAAAATATTCGATTGAAATTCAAAAAATATAGTAAAATTTTTTTTCCTGGGCTGGAAAAATTTTAAGAAAAATCAGAAATTTGAGAGGCCTTACCTGATATTTTATGCATAAATTGTCCGGCCAGGCTCGAAAATTTTTTATGCACTAATTGCCCGCCCCATTATAATTTTTCCCAGCCGTTAAATTTTTTTTTTAATTTCCGGCCTAACCCACGAGACGGGCTTTTAAACGAGAAGGGCTTTGCAAATCTTTAATTTAACATCAGTAAATAATATACCTTTTAAATTTATATAAATTAAACTTAATTTTAATCATACATATATTTTCTGCCTTGTATTTTTAACAAATTATTCTAAATTTAATTAAAATATTATTTTATTGCTCTTTGTTTGTCTATTTAGAATGTTGACATGGGTCGGGTTTGGTCTGGTTTGGAAAACATTTATGTTTATAATTTAACCAAAAATGAGATAAATGTGAGAAATTAAGATGTCTAAAACTATAACAAACTTCACGTCAATCATCATCAAATCAAAAATCAAATAAATTATTTTGAATTAATTTCTAATAAGTAAATATTTTTTATAATCTTTTGTTTAAGAATATCTATCTAATATTTTGGATATGTCAGGATTATTTATGATTATCTTCAA